TATATATATATATATATATATATATATATATATATAACGTCTCTGTGTGTGTGTGTATATATCTATATATATATATATAATTTATAATAAATATACAATATAAATAATTTATAATTGAAATGTAAAATATAATCTTTTTAAAAGTTTGTTTTTTTTTGACAAAACTTGTTGGATGAGCATTCAAAACTGTAAAAATTGCTGATATACACATGTAATCAGTTTTATAAATTTTATATTAACATGATATCCATAAACTGTTAGGCTAATGAAGCAGTTAGGCTAATGAAATATATTACTTGGTGAAATAATTGTGATATATACTACAATATAAATAAAATAAAATACAATGTATGAAAAATATATAAACAATATGATTTTTTTTAAATATAAGATTTATAATAATAATAATACCATTGTTTTCCAGTGTAATTATTCAATTAATTATTTTTATTTATTCTTCTATGTCTTAATAAAAGCGACAACAGAAATATGACAAATAAACATACCATTGTACAATGGGTAAGGTGTATTAATAAATTTTATATTAACACAATAACCATAAACTGATATAAAGTTAGGCTAATGAAATATATTACTTATTTACATAATTGTGATATATACTGCAGTATAAATAAAATCAAATATAATTTATGAAAAATATTTAAATAATATGAAATATTTTTACTATATAAGATTAATAATAATAATAATTTTCAATGTAATTATTTTAATTATTTAATTTATTTATTATTATTATTATTATTCATTTCATTTAAATACTTATGGAATGATTTATTTTATATGACTTTATAAATGCGACAACAGAAATATGATAAATAAACATATACCAGTTGTACAATGGGTAAGGGGTATTTGTACGCATGACATTTAGCCTCTAAAGCCCCCTTAGGATTGCTTTTATAAAATATAATAAAATAGCATCATGATAAAACACAATATTCTATGATTGAATGTAATTATTCTTGATAATTAATTATTTCAACAATTAAAACAGTACATTAGTTTATTGCCAAGCAAATTGCACATTAATATTGAATTTAGACTCTAAAATTTTATTATGAGATAGGATTTTGCCATTTATGAGGAGGTTTCTGGCTACAACCAACCTTAATTGTGATAAAAAAAATTTAAGAAAATCTCTAGAAACTAGAAAACATTTGGTGTTTGATAACCCTTGTCTCTCTCTCTCTCTCTCTCTCTCTCTCTCTCTTCAGGACCTAACGGTCCTACCAGCCCATTCGCACCCTCCCGTAGATCCACGCAAAAACGACAGGCAGACACGGCCTCCGCGAATACCGACCGGCGACAAACCAATGCACCCGAATGCTAAGCCAGACATCTGTGACGGCAGCTTCAACACGTTAGCCATCCTCAGGAGGGAGATGTTCGTGTTTAAGGTAAGCCAATGAATGAGACATACAGTAACTGTCAGAAATACACAAAACAAACAGATTCATATGTCTTAATTACTATATGAAATAAGCTCATCTTCAACACTGTGTTTAGAGCGCTGGCAGCTTCAGACACACACACACACACACACACACACACTGCAGGAAGCGTTTCAGCCAGCGTTATGCCTCGCTGTGTGGGTGTTTTCTCTTTGTTCTCTCAGCGCTTGAGCTGAAGGAAATTGACCTATTAGTCAGAGCAATGAGCTTTTCTTTGCTCGCTGAACCTGAGAGCTGCCTTCAATGAATTCTTAACCCTCCAGTGTGATAGTTGAGTGGGCTCAGTAATGTTTGTTTTAAAGGGGTCATATGATGCGATTTCAAGTTTTCCTTTCTCTTTGGAGTGTTACAAGCTAGAAAATTCAGCTTAGCATCACAGGAATAAATTACACTTTAAAATATATTGAAATACAAAACAGTTATTTTAAAATGCAATAATTTCACAATATTACTGTTAATTTACTGTATTTTACTGTATTTTTGATCAAATAAATGCAGTCTTGATTGGATTAAAGGTCACATATTTTATACCTTTCTGGAGTTTTATTTTAGGTTTTGATGTCCTTAAGAATATATATTTGCGGT